TGAGGCAGCAGGACTAACTAACTAACAGCCGTTACTTTGATTTCCTTTCTCAAATAACCTTGCTGTCACCTCTATTTTGTCCCCAATATATCCATGTTTTACCTAGGTATGCCAGAATTTCAGAAGCGGGTTTAGTGCATACATGTCTCTTGGTGTCTTATGGTTTATAATCTGACAATAAACTGAGTTTATAATCATTTCTGAAGAATCACGTAGCCTGACACTGAGGACTGGAGTGATGGCCGATGAAAATTCAGCTTTGCCATGACAGAAATAAATCACATTTTAAATTGTTGTTTAAAATTATAATAATATTTCACAATATTATATTATTTTTACTGTATTTTTGGTGAGCATATAGCCTACTGACTTATATAATTCCTGAAGTTGCTGATCTGGGGTCTGTTCTGCCCAGCAGCATATAACGTTGATTCATGTAATTTTTCAACAAAAAAAGCCTTTTCGTTCTGTCTTAGGATGACCTCTCAGTTCAAAGACAACTTTCAGCATGTGATGATGTTCTGTCTGACCGCAACATCAATGAGTGTTTAATATTCCTGTTTTTGCTCATCTGACTCTCAGTCCTTTCTTGATCATTTACTAGGACATTCTAATAATGGACACAGAACTTTCTAAAACTGATGACAACTGTGGCGATCACTCCACTACTGAAGTAAGTCTTACCTTGTCTGCCTTTTATATGTCTGTACTCGGTCCCTCTCACTTTCACTTACTGACACACTGACATGTATTGCATGCTCCATGTGTTGTGTGTTAGTTAAACCTTACTTAATGTTCCACATACTTGATCTTTTTTTGTAATTTCACTAGTTCTTATAGGTGATAAAACATGTTGTAATAGGAAGACATCTGCTTCCCCAGCAGGGCATGGAAAAAACAAAACAGTCCTTGGAGCCCTGTGAGAAACCTGAGGATAAACAGTCAAAATCTATGCAGGTGGGCTGGGCATTCGTTGCTTTTTAAAGATGCAACTTTGTAAATTATTTGCCGGCTAAATACATATATTACAGCTCAGATTTATTACATCTTTGGGTGGCTCTTAGGACTGCCTTTAATCCAGTCAATTTCAAAAGGCATGGGCATTTTAATCAAATGTTTATTGTCAAAAATGCACTTTTCTCTTTTATACCAAGGATACAGGTTCTGGATTAGATACAGACGAGCTGGTTAATGTTGAGACCCAACCAACATATAAGCAGGTAAATAAAGTTTCATCTCTGCACTGGTTTCTAATGTAAAGAAAATGTAACTGCTTTTGTTTTATTATTTTATTCTTTTTATAATATTTTATAATAAAAAATTACAGTATTATTATATTTATTTGAAAATTATTATCATGATTTTCTTGTAGATGTGTATCTTGTGACATTCCTGTGTTGTTTGTTTATTAAAAAGGCTTAAGACTTTAACACTCGATTAGGTTTATATATACAGACATTACCCCTAAACTTTGAGGTTAATTGAAAACATGTTGTAACAGACTGGTGAAGTTGCTGCTGTTTGTTTAGGAATCTTGTGCAAGTCTAGCTTGGTATGGAAGCTGTTCTTTGAGCATACCTTTGGGCTTTTTCAGCAATACTTTTAGATTTTTTTATTGGCATAGCCTAAATAGCAGTAACCAAAGATAAAAGGCAAGTAGACACATGCACATCAGAATGCTGGGTGGAATATGACTCAAATTGTTGTATAAGATCATCTAGCAGAGGTCGAATAAAGTAGTTCAATATCAAAGCAAATTGTGAGGCTACAATTTAAATACTTGTCTGAAACATGCAGCAAATTGTGCTGTTTTGTCAGGCAAACATGAAAGGTTAACTAAAGTTTTTTTAATGGCACTTCTGTTAGTTTATCATTTTGTATTCTGTCATCAATTGCATTCTGTATTTTCTTTGTCTTTTTTCATAAATACAGATTATAGGCCAGATAAACACTTTTAAAGTAATTTCTGAATCATAGGGTTATATGCATTCTACTCATCGTTACAGGACACTAGCAATGAAATCATGGAAAAGAAGTCTGACAAAGTGGCTGAGACACCAGGAGAAGAGGAAAATCCAAAAGTAAGCACCCATTTTACCATTTGGAGTAAATTCTGATGGCCTTACCATTGCATGTTTTCAGAGAACCAAAACAGGTGATCTGGACTTCATCCCAGTCGAACAGCTTTAAACCATATGACATTTTTACAGCAAAAAGGACAAAAGAAGAAACCCAGAAATCCATTTATGCCCCAGATTGCAGCAAAGGTAAACATTTTACATGTTTACTTTTTTAATATGCTCACAGTTGTTAGTTAATGAAACCATGTGCTGTTATTTCAGAAAAAAACAACTCCGAAGAATGGAAACCAAAATGGAGACAGTGGCAGTGACCTTGCAGAGGTGCTGTAATGTCCTAGCAGTTCTTTTAATCAATAACTCTTGTGACACTGAAAACAAGACACAACCAGGCAAAGAATGAGAACTGAGAGATGTGGTATCCTAAATATAAAAACCCACTGAGGCCTTCATAAACTGTTTTACGCTACAGGTCAGGTGACAATAAATGAGCCATGCATTGGCTTGCCTAACAGTTGCACAAAAAAAGTGGAATTCTATATGTCTGCAAACATTAATAAGAAAAGTTGTGTCTCTAAAGCAAGCATTCTGTGCTTCTATTATTTTGCATCTTGATTAAAAAATGAACAATTACTATTTTTTTACTCAAGCAAAAAAAAAAAAAAAATCAGCTTACAACACCAAATAGTGATTTTTGCAACCTGTTACAAAAAACAAAACCACACAAACACACTACCTTCCTACTTGACTCACAACTTCTGCAATTTCTGTTGGTTTCTGCATTGGAATTTTCCCTTCAAGTTCCGTTTTACACGTAATTGTCCAATCTACTTTTTGTTGTTGTTGTTTTTTCCCCCTAAGACTAAAGGCCCCAAGAAGTCCCTCATGGAATGGCTGGATGAGTTCCGTTTAAGTGAAACTCAGAGAGAAGATGAGGAGGTTGGTTCTATAAATACAGATCCTTGCCTTTGTTTTCTAAAAAGACAATTTTTTAGTCATCCTAAATATGTCTGTCACAGGAACTTGATGGCCTCATGAATTGGTGGAACACTGTGGAACGTGAGTGGTCCTACCCTGTTTGTCTACTTTCAGAAACACCCACCCCACATACTTATTATTTAATCTAATTAACAGTAATTCATTCTTAATAAAGTTCTGATAGATGGTCCATCATGATCTGGACATGATATTCTTAGTTATTTTCCTCTCTTTTTGTTTTTACCAATTTAGAATGGGAGGACATGCCCAAAAGTGACAACATGACAGAGAAAGAGGAAGCCAAGTAATTCCCAATTCATTCTGTGTGCATGTGACATGACAAAGTGAATTTGACTGACCAATTGTCTTTTTCTCAGGGCTTTTGCTGTAACAGCTGAAAAGGTGCAAAAGGGCATACGTGTGTTCAACAAACTTTTCTCAGAACGGGCAGAAGGACTGTGGCAGCACGTGATCGACCTGCATGCCATTGCTGATGGCCTGGACCGCTTCAACAAGAAAACCAAGATTGCCCAGATCACTGGTGGCTCCACCAGTGCTGTGGGAGGTGTTGCTACCATAACTGGCCTCATCTTAGCACCTTTCACAATGGGAACCTCTCTGATTGTCACTGCGGTTGGTCTGGGTGTTGCCATGGCAGGTGGTCTTACCTCTGCATCTGCTGGGATATCCAGTACCGTCAACAACTCTTTGGATCGCAAGAAGGTGGAGCGCATTGTGGAAGACTACCAGGCGAAGATGGCTGACCTTAACAAATGCATGAAGTTTATCAAGCAAGGCATTACAAACCTAAGCAAGTTCAACCGGAATAAGATGAAGAAACATGCATATAATCAAGACTTCCCTTGTTTCAACAATATCTACGAGGATGGCGCCATGGCGGGCAAAGCTATTCTCACCAATGCCAATGAGATTATGCGTGTGATGCAGATAGCCAACGCGGCCGGAACCACTGCGGCACGTGCTGTGCAGATCGCTAGTATATCCACAGGTGTTCTGACAGGGCTTTTTGTCGGGATGGACATCTATTTTGTGGCCAAGGACTCCCATGAGCTGAAAAATGGTGCAAAGTCAGAATTTGCTGCCAAGATTAGAGAGGTGGCAGACCAGCTGCATGAGGGCTTGATGGAATTTAACATAATCCGAGATGAGTTGCGGTTGACCACCACTATGAAAGAAGACAAACCATTTTGAAAAGCTCTGTAAACACTCCCCTGAGTTTATTTTTACTTTCAGACTAGATGATCTATCTAAACAAATTATATGGTTCTAGAACTACTGACTTTCCTTATTAGACAGCAAAGGAAATTCGGGATCTTATTTTGTTTTTATGACTTTATATCCACTGATTGTTAGGGTATATTTGCTGCTTTTATAAGGCTATTTTGTATTTTGTGCATTTTTTTGTAAAACAACCTGATAAAGAACATTAGTTAGTTAATTATTTATTACATTTAATTACTTGCAAATTTACCATTGCCCAATATTTATGTCACTGATGCACCTATCTATCTATCTATCTATCTATCTATCTGTCTGTCTTTCTGTCTGTCTGTCTGTCTGTCAACATTTTTGATGGTTGAAATGTCACCACAACTGTGTGACAGTCTTAAAGTGATTTTAAAAACCAATAAAATATATTTTCACACAGTGAATATTGCAGTAGGTTGTGCTTATTTCATTTTGTATTTATTCTCCAATAACTTTTATGGGTTTTCTAAAAAGTTTTCAAGGCGGTTTTAACGTGACCTTTATGTAACAAAAAAAAAACATAGGTTAATTTGTTATAATAAAACTCAGTACCTGGGCCAAAAGTAACAAACATTACTTGTTACTTGTTTAGTGGAAGTGAAGAGATATGATTCACCATCGTCACAGTACCCTGCTCAACCGCCCCGCTGTGCTGTCTTTACTCAACACATTAACCGGGCAGCGGGCGGAGCTTGACAAAGTTTTGACATGCCGTTTCCCTGTAGCTGTACGCATGGGAACCTAAGGTAGGCAAAACAGTACTGTGAAATATCGTCACGATTGTCAGTTCTGTAATGTTTATTAAATAAACTATTAAGTTTCGGTAAGAGTCTTTTGTGTTTGTCTCGCCCACGCAACGTGTCATTCCAGAACAGACGCTTTCTCTGAGACTAGAAAAACCCACAATAACGACAGAACGAGCTGTCAGCTCGTAAAAGAAAAAGAATTCTACATTGTTGTTTGAAAATAAAATAAAAAGTGAGCAAACCAAAGCGCATCTTAACGAACGTTTAATGAAGCGCCTGGAACGCGAGGCGTTGAGGCGTATGTAGCCTACTGTTTGCAGTTGTTTGTCATCATGAATTATGTCAGTGTCTGGCGCTCCTGACTCTGAAGATTGTTTTACAGTGCACTCCTGTGCAGTGTTACCTGAGTAACGCTTCATAATTATAGTTTACATTATTTTACCATGATACATTGTGTAAACATGTTTTTTTCTTATGTTAGAAATGGAGAAGTGCAATTGTGATTCCAGAGGGAAAACTGAAACAGGAAGCTCAGACCTCCCGTAAATGAGGTAATGTGGTTATACCAGGCAAGGATACAGTCATATGATAATAAAATATCACTCTTTGTCAGGGCGTCATACATGACACTGCTAAAATAATTGATGGATTTTTACCATTTAAACACAAACATTAAAAACAAAAAATAAAGTGGGGCAGATTCAATTCTCAAAACACAAAATACAAGTTAGTCAACCTAACTCCATTAATGCTTTATGTCAGCTAATCACAAATAGTCCACAAAATAGTGGAAGAATATATAGACTTCTTTTACCTTTTTTTTAATCTGACTGCGAGATAGGTCTAATAATATTGACAAGAGATTTGATTATGAATGTCTGTTGCATTTCAGGAAATAAATGTTTCCAGTAGCTGTTTAATTATGACATGAAAAGGCAAGGTAAGTTTATTTGTATAATACATTTAATACAGTGTCTAATAAAGAGTGAAAAAAGAAAAACACATTTTACTATAAATTAAGAACATGAAGATTATGTACAAAATGGAAAAAGGAAAGAAAAATAAGCAAAAAAAGGCTAAGCATTTATTATGTATATTAAGCATTTATTATGGAAGTGATTATGGAAATTATTTGAACTATAGTTAGGTATTTAAAAGGAAGTCATGAACTATTTAATGAACCACTAAAACATGTCTGGAGATGATTGTCTTCATAATCTGTGAAAGAAGTTGGTGTCACGGTTGCACTACTGAGTGGAGTGAGGAGCAAAGAACGGAGGGAGACGAGGAGTAGATCAACCCAAAGAGATTTAATTATAACAAGGAAACACAGAAAACTCACGTAACGCATGTAGACATGAACAATACTGGACGCTGAACTAACAACCGGGGACACTATTTAAATACATGACAAGACGAGGGGATGACGAGACACACCTGGGATCAATGGAAATAAACGGGGAACACCTGGAATTAAACATAATCAGGACAGGAACCGGAAACTAACCAAATAAGGGCATAAACACTGGGACACAGAGAGCACATGGGGAACAAAATACAACACAAGCCTGACAGTTGTGATAATTAATTTTACTCTCTGTGGGCCTGGTCTGACAGAATAACATCCATGGACATGAATCCCGAATAGAAGGGTCCACCCCAGAAAATGTCCAGTGAATGACATAGAGCAAGAAAATCAAAGCGAGAGAAAACTCTTTTTATAAGTTTATGTGTAAATGTAAGATATTGACTGTATGTTAGCAAAAAAGGCACAATATTTTAGAATGATTCTAAATAGTATGAGAATATTGTAAAGATTAGCTAATTAGATTGGCTTTTTTTTTTTAGAAAATACAAAAAAGCTATGTTCTTTCAAGGTCATTTTAAAGCACGATATTTAAAAAATAAACTGCATTAACGGATTTGTAAGTAGAATTGATTTAATGGTGAATATTCCTCCATAGGTGTGAAAGTTGACAGACAGTGACTAATTCAGAGGAAAACAGCAGATCATTCAGGTGAGCAATATCATATGTCATTGTATAACACACTTAAATGCGCAAATACTTTTTAGCAACCACATATATGAATGACCTTCCAATTTGTGTTTTGCGGTGTGTTTTTTCCTCTGCTTGTGCTATAGAAAAAAGCAGATTCAATGTCCAGGCTTTCAGACGTAGTTGAGCACTCATCTGAGACGAGACAGTACATGTTTAAGGGTGTAGGAACAGGAAGCTTTCACACTAAGGTAATTCGTTTGATGTAACCAGACTCTCTCGTAATATCTGGGCTTTCATTTGCAATGGTTAGTTGACTATTTTTTTTTTCTCTAGGATGAGAATGGTGAACTCGCGAGCAATAATGATGGTCTGTTGGAGAACAGCAAAATTAAGGTTAATGTATGTAAAGCTAATGTATGTTTTGTCTTAATGCACTTGAGAGTTAATATTATGGTTTGATTTCTCAGAATACTGTTCTGAATCTGCATTGATTTTGCTTTACAATAAATAACATTTTGAAATATAGGCAGATTGCAAGGAAGAATCTGATTTAGTAATATGTAGAATCTATACAGTAAATATAGCAGTGGCATGTTTCTGAGAAGAATAATTTAATCTTTTCTCAGAACAAGCTAACTGAGAGTGAACTGTCGGCTCTTAATGATCATCCATCGGGCAACGATAACCCAAAGGTCTGTCATCTTATTATAAACTTGACTTTTATCATAAATGGTGTATATTTATATCCGATTCATAGTTTTCATTTTTATGATGAAAATGTTTATAGAATGCAAATTTTCTTCATTTATCAGGGGAACGCTGCCATTTTCAGCCGGTTGTTTAAAAGAACTAAAACGTGGACGAGACTCCCTGCACAAGAGGTAAAACATCTGGTGGAGCTTTTAGACATTAAAATAGTCAATTTAAGCCAATATTTTTATTCATGACAGACAACTGAAGCTATTTCATATAGTCATATATAATCAGTTATTAGTGTTGAAATGACCTGAACACGATTCAACAGCACCGAGGTACCAGAATGTTGCTATTTTCATCCATTGTGTCTTACATACATGCTTTGCAGATAAAAATGACATTACATCACACGGTTAGTGTCAGGCCATGAAACTGTACCATTTTTTACCACTAGGGGGAGGCAAGAGACTTCCTCAGTGAAATTGACCACAAACCAGCCAAACCCTCAGGAGAGGAATCTCATGGTCAAATGAGATGCCTGTAGAGTGGCACATACATTTTAAGCTAACGATTATGATCTTATATGAAAGATAATGCAAACTTATAAGAGATTTGGCTCAGGATGGCTTCACTGCCACCACTGACAGTCTAGCCAACACAGCAATAAGGTTTGTTGTGATTACAGTACACCTAACATCACATGACATCACACCTTAGACTGAATGTCCAGTGTGAATCACATGGTTTGTATTGACACAATATGTTTGGATTTAAAAAGAAGTATTTAGTGCTCTAAGGACACCACAACAGCTCAGATGATCCACCCTGTGTCCACAAAAACATACAGTAAACGGTATAAAATGTATTGCTATAATTGTGGTCAAGTTTTTTTTACAGTTCAGTCAGTAAAATCATGCTTTGATGTTGCACATTACACAGAATAATGCAACCTGCAATTTTGAAGCTTGTCTTTGGTTTAGCTCACAAATACTGTCTGTATGTCTGATATTACCTTCCTCTCTTTCTTAACAGGAAGAGCCATCATTACAACATGGAGAACTCTCAGCTGGCAATCACAACAAAACACAAAACAACAACACCACGGTGTGACAAAACTGCAGCCTTGGATGCAATCATTTATTCTTAAATTAATGTCTTAAAATTTACATTTTGCAATACTGTCTAATTTTTTATATAATTCTTGTAGCTTTGCATAATGTGCTGGTCTTCTGTCTCTTTACAGGAAGAACCAGCATTGAAAAATGGTGATTTTTCAGGCAGTGACAATCTTGTAAGTCACAATGACAGTAGGTTCAGTAACAACAATCACATTGGCCATGTATAATGAATTCAAAGTCACACAAAATGTCATTCTAACTCTCAGATTAATTTCATTAGGAGGGAAATTCCTTGTTTAATTTTCTCAAAACATTTCCTAGAGGAGCTGAGGATACTTCTGAAGAGGTATATTGCTACAACAAAAAATAATTGACATATGACTGTCTATTTTATTTATCTGTAGGATTTGTGTATTTTTTGTATTGCTACTCCTGCCTTCCTGTTGATAATGCACAATAGTTACAAGCTTTCTTGTTGTAGGACAGCCCACCGTTACACATTAAACTGCTGGCCTGTAATGACAATCTATTATATCTCTCCAACAACAACTTAAAGGTGCTTATCACAACCTTTTATTTATGTTATATAGTAAGATATATGTATATTATTGTAATTGCTTAGTCACCTGCTATTGACAATAACTGTCCTTTTTGTGCAGGATAACTCAGCAAAGCTAAGTGGCACTTTCCGCAGTTCCCCAAAACCAGCATTACGTTTTCCTGCTGAAACGGTAAAGCATCTTCCTCTACTTATTACTGTATTTAGATTTTATACCATTTTTAATCAAATTAAAATGACAGTTTATTCAATATGTAGGACCCGCTAAGTGAGCACAGTGAATTTACAGACTGGGATTATAACTTCTTGGACACTGGCATTGAAAAGGTACTTTACCAAATTGGTAAAGATTTTAAGTTGCCTGCAAAGTAGATGATGTTGTGAAACAAATGCTGAACTGTTTCCTCTATTTGATAGAAATCTGTACCCAGAAAATACCATGACAAGAAACTCTCTAACAGTAATAACAAAGTAAGCCTCTCTCTCACTTTCTAAATAGAGGAGTACTTGTTTTCTCTTCTGAAGGTCACAAAAGTGGCATACATAGGCAGGAATATTGTAGGAAATTGAAGTCCATAATTCTACTTGCCACAAACAGTAGTGGAATTTGACTTTTTGTTTGCACCTGAAATTATTTACAGTGTCAGTTCACATTGTAAAGTAACTCATGTGCTGTTCACATTTTCTCAGGTTGTGTCATTTAGAGTGAAGAGAACTCTACCTAGAATGTCCACATTTTCATCTAGTACGCAGGTAGTGTTAACACTTTTGTAAAATATCACTTGATATTTTACATCAAAACAACTGCCATACTCTAAAATCTATATAGGATTCAGATCAAGAAGATATGATTGAGGTGCCAATGGAAATGCAGCAACTGGGGACAAATGAGGTGAGTTATTGTTGCAATGAGTATGTGAATGAGTGTACATTATGGACATTAGAGTTTATTGCAGTCCTTGACTTATTTGACATATTATTATGCCATCAGATAATAATTAATTTCTTATTCTCTGAATGTTACAGGACTGTACTTTTGAAATCCTGCCACTGGAGATGGCTGCCTACCCAACAGATTTAAATTCTTTAGAGACAGATGAGGTATATTATCATTATTGTTTCATTATTATGCAATAATGTTAATTATGATATTTATTTTAACCTTTTATTTCTCTCTTGCTCTCTTTTCACAGGATGATGACCTGATGGACTGGTGGAAAACTGTTGAGGGTGAGTTGGGTCAAATTACCTGATCACCTATAATGGATATGCAAAACTACATGTTTTCAAAAATGACTAGTCTCCTAATCTAAGTTGACTAAAATTAATCAGTTGGACGATTGGTTAATCTTTGTCCCTCATCCCTGTTACTATATCTAGTTTAGATCACTGTTAGCAACTTCATTTGACTTACTGACTTTTGACAGGTTGGAGTGAATGGAATGAAACAGCACATTTTCAGGAGGACGACGAGGAGCTGTGAGTAAATGTGGATTTTAGTTTAAATCATTGTCTAATCGCCTCCACTGATCTTTTTTAATGTTTTGTCAGGGCTGTCGAGGCTGCTGCAGACCGTGTGTTCAGGGCCGCCCGTCTCTTTGTCAGTCTGTTCAACCAGCGTGGGGCATCTCTGCAACGTCATATTTTAGAGTTGCTTGCTCTGGCAGACACTGCTGACAGCTTTCATAAGAAGACTGTGAGTGCAGCTGTTGGAGGGGGCGTAGCTAGTGTGGCAGGGGGCATAGCCACCATTACTGGACTCATCTTGGCACCCTTCACCTTTGGCACTTCCACTATCGTCACTGCGGTGGGTATCAGTGTGGCAACAGCTGGAAGCATCACCTCAGCCACAGCTAACATCACCGATGCGGTTCAATCCAAGATGGATCGCAAGAAGGTGGAGAAGATGATCCAAGGCTACCAGAATGGGATCAGTGACATCAGAGATTGTCTGGAGTTCATGCAGGTATGTTTAGCATTCCATCTGTGTGTCAACTGTCTGTATGCCAGGCTATCATTCTCTCTGTATGTTGATCTATCAGTCCATCTGTTTGTCTATTTGTTTTTCTGTCTGATTGATGTGATTTTTTCTTTTGTGTATGTAGGAAGGAATGAACACCCTACAGGAATGGGATTTTAAGGGGTACTCTGAGAGTGTGGTCAACACGAGTCTTAGTCGTAACATAAAGCATGTGATGAAGGAAGGTGGACGAGCAGGTAGAGCCCTTATGATAAACACAGATAGGCTTATCAACACTGTGAAAGTTCTAGGTGTTGCTGGAGGTGCTGCCAAAGCCGCCAAGGCCGTCAGTATCACCACAGGGGTCATGTCCACTCTCTTCCTCGCCCTGGATGTCTTCTTTCTCGCCAAAGACTCCAATGAACTTAGCAAAGGTGCTAAGACCAAATTTGCCTCCAAGCTCCGAGAAGTCTGCAAAGAGCTTCAACATGGCCTACTAGAACTAAACAAAGTGAAGACTCAGCTTCAAAAGACCATGGATGGAGTGGAAGAATATGAGGAAGAGGAGGAGGATGAAGACCATTGTGAGTCAGATCCTGTTAAACTGGCTCTACTTGAACAAGAAATAGATCAGTTGGAGGAGAAACTTGACCAGAAAACTATGCAGCAGCAAATGAACCGAAGCAAGAGAGGAGATGCTGAGAAAGAGATGCCAAAAAAAGAAATAAAATGAGGAGTCAAAGAGATGAGTGAATGATAAAGGGTCTTATCAGTGAGCCAACATATGGAAACAACAAAAGCACTAAATTGAAAGATTTGAAACGAAAAATGGTAAGTGGGATGGAATAAAGCAGTTGAATTGAAAGGACCTGGAAAGATTTAGAATATAGAAAATAGAAGACTTTACACAGATGTTAAGGGGCTGAAAACTGATTATAAAAGGAATCTAATGAGACAGAAAGAAAAGAAGCCTATAAACACTCATGTTGTGTTATTCAGGAAAATCAAAGATGATATAGTAAGAAGTAAGAGAAAAACAAGTAGATTTGCATTTCTTTAAACAAATACCAGTGGATGCAGACTGATGCCACTCAGCATGCGTCTTTTTTTAATGTGTGCTACACACGAGAATCAACATTCTTGTTATTTAACTGAAAAAATTGTAAATATGGTAATCACCATGAAGTATTTTAAAGTAAAGTAAAATTAATTTTTAGGGTTGTAGGTAGGACCTGGAAAGATTTAGAATATAGAAAATAGAAGACTTTACACAGATGTTAAGGGGCTGAAAACTGATTATAAAAGGAATCTAATGAGACAGAAAGAAAAGAAGCCTATAAACACTCATGTTGTGTTATTCAGGAAAATCAAAGATGATATAGTAAGAAGTAAGAGAAAAACAAGTAGATTTGCATTTCTTTAAACAAATACCAGTGGATGCAGACTGATGCCATTCAGCATGCGTCTTTTTTTAATGTGTGCTACACACGAGAATCAACATTCTTGTTATTTAACTGAAAAAATTTTAAATATGGTAATCACCATGAAGTATTTTAAAGTAAAGTCAAATTAATTTTTAGGGTTGTAGGTTTAAAACAAACCACTAAACTTTGATATTTAAGGTGTATCAATAATGTTCACTCTTGTAAACAATGTAAATAAATAAATTAATGAGAATGTGTGTGAAAAAACAGACCACTGTAAAAATGTGAAGGGCTTACACAGCATAAGGGTTGAGTCAGAAACTTTACCCTCAACCTGTTTTCCACGGCCTGTAGTCTATAATTAAGATTCTCACAATTGGCTAGTGTGGTTTACAACACACACACACACATGTTTGTTTCAGTTCCTTCAGCAATATATCCAAGAAGCAGTCTTTTGTGGCTTTACATTAATCAAATTGTTCTTGTGGAAAAAAAAAAAAAAAGGAATCTACCTTAAACCAGTAATGACAGAGTGCACTACTAACTATCATTTGTAGGTAAAAAGGCATTCTGTAAATCTAGATTTATTTTCTTTATGAGTGCGAGAACTTTAAATGAGCAATTGTTGGAGCTGACCTAGTGGGTAGTTCATGTGTTCCAACACATGAAGCTTTGGGGTATGTGCAGGTGACACAAATTTGGATTATAATCCTATTTCCTCCTCTCTGCCCACAAAAAATAAAAAAAAGTGTTTATGCTGGGCTTTATGCAGCAAAGATGTAATGTATTTTTGTTATTTTTATGTATTATTCGTTTTATGTAAATATATACATTTTTTAAATTAAAAAAAACATTTTCTGTTTTCTGTTAGTCTATTAATAGGTAGTTTGTTTATGATTTAACATTTATTTTTAAAAATGCTTCCTAAAATGTGTTATTTTTCTCTGGATTTATGCAATGCATAAAAGTAATTTTTTTTAATGAATGCAAAATGCGTTTTTGTATTTATTTTGTAATAAATAGCCTAACCCTTCTCTTATAAAAGAGCAATTTATTCAATCCAAAATGGAATGTTTATTGGCAAACATGTTGAAGATTAGCCGACAGGCTGTCGAGTCATTGTTGTGAGATTTTTCCTCACAAGTTTATTCAGCGTACTCCGAAATCGAGATAAGCATCTATCTATCGACAACAAAATCTCCTACTTCCATTCACGGCATCCAAAAACAGTGTTGAGCTTCTTTTTTTTTTTTTTGCTAACATTGAAGGGTCCTTGAAGCGCCTCTGATAAAATCCACCTGCAGCAGAGCCATAAGTCACAGCTAGAGGTGGGATTGAGGACTCTTCTGCAACCTCAAATGACAAATGGGACACAGTCTCATGAACTTTTAATGCATGCGAGCTTTGCTCTTCACATCAATTGTTGCATTTGTGACAGGGCCTCATGTTTCTCTGCTTGTGTGTACATAGGCCTAAGACTGAAAGAAAGGGAGAGAATGCCCTCTGCTGTTGAAGAAAATGTGTGTATATGTTTGGTATTTGGGGTATTTATACAGTTTATAGCTATTCAGTGTTTATAGTTTTTTTTTTTTTTAGTATCTATTAAAGTATGACGGCATCATCTCCTCTCACAAGATAAACATTTGCATGTCCTACACATCAGCACCCAAACATAAGTAGCCTAAATGTGCATTCATTAAATGATCAAATGAAGCTGAAATGAACTACTGAATGTGCTTCATTGCAGGGGACAGCAGCAAACTAGCTATAAAGCTATAAATAGCTTAATATTTTGGGTTATAAATAACAAGTAGAAATAATCAAGAACTTTTTTTACCCTTCACTTTGTGCTTAATACTTTACCTGCATTAATGTTCTGCTTAAACACATTATTTTAGATCGCAAGTTTAAATAAATACTACTACAGCCTACAAGCAATATGCATTTCCAGTATCCATTAAATAGGTTTGATGGTAAGAAACAAACTAATGTTATATAATGCTCTTTACTTTATATAACCATGGACTCACTGCCCCTAGGACATACAATTCTTGCTATTGAAGCATATATTTTAGACTGAGTCACACAGAGAAAAAAGAAGCAAGTGTGGGTTAGAGCACTTAAGCACACATAAGCACATGCACAGGAAAAGAAGTACAGGGCAATACAGGACAAGATAACTGTCCAACAGTAAAATGTGTCATCCTTTATATAAAACACAGAATAATAACATATGTATTCAATTATTGCATTGCCAGCGACTATTTGAAAACGATCAAACACAGATGACATTTTCATCACACCTGTCTAAATGCAATTACAGACATCATTTGTCCCACTAACTGTGATAATCATGAGTCTATCTGCTCTCATTATTATGAGCTATTCTGAGATATCTGTAGAGACCGCTTTAATTATAGGGGAAGGAGAAAGAGAAAGACACTTAAAATAGATCAAATGGTACACTTTCCTTGATAATCATCTTCATTTGACTCACCAAAAATGCAAGGATCTCGCTGCATGCTTGTAACTGGCAATAAAGCAAAAATTAAAGGCATTATGCTCATTTCACTGAGTATGACATGACTTAAAAAGGTTCTCGACCTTGTGCTAAATGCAACCAGCCAGTAAAATACAGTAAATTGAGCAAAAATGTTATACTTTGCCTGTTTCACACGTATTTCAAGGCCAATTGCATGAATAGGGATCAATTTGAAAATAACAAGCTACTTCATTTAATACAGGGGTGTCAAACTCAGTTCCAGGAGGGCCTGAGCCCTGCAGAGTTTAGCTCCAACCCTAATTAAACACACCTGATCCAGCTAATCACGTCTTTCAGGCTTATTTGAAAACTACATGGTTTGTGTGTCGGATCAGGGTTGAAACTAAACTCTGCAGGGCTGCGGCCCTCCAGGAACTGAGTTTGACACTCCTGATTTAATACAATTCTTGATTAAATACCTGTCCAAAATGCAGAAATATGCAAGATATTGCTATTGCTAATTCTTCTGTTAATGTCAGGTTATTATATTTTTTCTGTTATCAAATAATCATTATTTAGTCTGCAGTTCATATAAAGAAATTTTGTTAGCACCTTTACAATTATGCATTAAACTAACAATAACAACAAGCAGTTCCTTTGTTACTATATTTATTCATCTTTGTTAATGCTTTTAATAATGTATTAACATTAACTAAGATTAATAAATGCATTAGAAGTAATTAATTGTTAGTCCATGTTAATGTAGTTAACTAATGCTAAACAGATAACGGTGTTACAGAGATTGCTTTATTTTTCAAACACGCGTCATTTTGAAAGAAAAAACAAAACAATTAAGAGCTACCTCTAAGAATACATTTACAACTAATCTACTTCATATCTATGCTAATTCACACCAGCATGTTTTACTGTAGGTGCAGTGCACCATTTGGTCATTACCGCCCTTTGAATTCTTGCATTTATATAAATTACATTTTGCATTGATGATATACTAAATATACTGTATTAAATTATAGATGTGTGTTGCGTATGTCAATAACACGTTCCTACCTATATTTATGTCTACAGGAGAGGAGAGAAAGGATTGAGACAAATCTAGACAAATACAACGAGAATAAAATCTGCAATGTCTTTTAATGTGAAAATCCTTCTCTATTCTTATGTCCTAAACTCTATTCAACCCAGCATGTTGATGCCACAGGGCTATCATTTGTTTTCCAAACCCCTAATTTCCCACCCACACTTGGCTTTTCCCTTTTCTCTGTTTGTTCCTTATTAAATCTCTTTCCATTTCGAATATTGCAGAAGGCTTTTTTGTCCTCTGCACTGATCCTTTCGTTCATACTTCCCTTTTCTACTTCTTTTTCTTTTGGAAGCGTCTGAACTGACTCTGTATTGCCAAAGCTGCCTTTTCCGTCTCTGGTGCATCCAGATCAATGTCAATCTCTTCTTCAGGTTCTTGCATAGGGTCCACCGGTTTCTCCTGGGGGGCTGAGGGGCACATGACATAGAAACACTGACAATGTCGATGACATAGTAAAAGGATTTCTTACATTTATTTTTAAACCAGTGTGTCCTAATTCAGGCAGGTTAAATCCTGTTACATAAATTGTTTATACATTTTCATACCACAGAACTGTAAAATACGCAACCATTCTAATATCTCTAATCAGAACATATTTTCATAGTTAAAACTGAAGTGTCTATTTGTTTCGATGTTAAAATATTTTCTTGTATCTTAAATTAATATGCAGGGATGTGCTGCAGAAATTATGTATTTTTGAAGGCCAAAACCTGGAAATGAGTTATTTATCACTTCCGGTTCCATCTACCCAAAGTCAATGAGTTTTTTGAATGGGTTATTGGTTAAATGGCAAAAAAAAAAGGCCTGTGGTTAAAACAAGGTTAAGATATTTCACTTTTTTTCTACAACTTAAAATATATCAGTAATACCCCGTAATTATTTTTTTAAAGCTTTAATTGTCTTGAAAAGAAGGAAACAGATATACTGCATCATGCCGACAGGTCACACTAGGTCAAAACCAGCTGAATCATTCTTCAAAATATCTTCTTATTAGATGAAATATCCCTTTAAGTTATTACGAGCTCATTTAATTAGCTGATGCGGTTTGCAACGTCAGGGCTTTGGTGAGATGAAAGGGTAAGTCAGCTGAATATACCCTGACCTTATGGGAATAACCAACCTCCACTAGATATGCAATAAAGAACGGTCTCTAGAGTAAATGTGTGCTTCAGTTCTCGTGGGTATGCGTGTGTGCTTTTTTGTTAAGAGAGAGAGAACTGAACTGATATTCTATGATAAAAATAATAAAAACAGATAACAATCAGACTGGACTAGTAGACATCTGTTTTGTGGTTGGCTACACTTATATTTGTACAAATATAAACCTGGCCCTATGTAACCGTACAGTTCTGGTGGAGAACAAAATATGGAGGAGTTTTCAAGAAGTCAATTATGAAAAATTCAAACATGGTGTAATGAAACGCATTAACGCACCTTTTTTATCTGTGGTGGGCCCCTGAGTGCTGTTGGGAGGATCAGATGAACTGTTCTGCAGGAAAGAGACGGCAACTTTCAGCAGGTTTAACGTTGTGTGAAAGCATTCATACATGCAGTATAAACAAAACAACATTTGTGAATTTTTATGTGTTCTGCCATTAAATTAAAAGCTGATATGGGCTTTCTGAGTCGTGTGTTAGGACAGTGAGCGATAAAGACCCCTTAATCCCCATCGGTTTAATCCTCCTTTTTTCAATTCTGTGTGCAATCTGGAACAGTGGCACTCAGCCCTGGAGAGGATCGCCATAACATGCAAGCTTAGTGTGTGTGCATGTGTGTGTATATTTGATATTATTTTTAAAATTAATTTATCCTTGTTGACATTTTTAGTTGAAGGTTCATGAGGTTCCCAAATATGTTTATCTGTTTGATATAGGTTAAATAAAAGTGTGCATTTGTATTTTTGCTGAAGATAGAATCCGTCACCATCCTTATGTTGCCTTTTCAATGTGCACAGCATGAGTAAACTACTTGAGGCCAAAATGCATTCAGTATATCTGTGACCTTGCTTCTTCAATTACGAAAACAAATTAGCCTTGAGATGATGCCCTAGATTTGAGTTATTCATATAGACACTGACATCCAAAATGTGAAGTTTAATTCATGTATTTCTTGCGTCACTTTAATGTGTACTTTCAGCAATGAATTGTTAGTTAACCTGAAAAAATCTGTATATTTGCTTTTAGCAGGTAATATACTGCAAATACTTCTTACATAGCTTCTGTAAAGCACAAAATGTCATCAAGAGAGAACGAAATAGAACATTGCATAAACACACACACATATTATCCACTCTCTTGCTGCAAGGGCTCTTTCAAATGCAAATCTCTGCAGCACATCCCTCTATAATCCCCCTTTTTTTTTGGAATGAAAGAACCTCTTCACCTTACCCTAACTCTGAACTTGCCTTGTCTTCCTCTCTCTAGTAGGTTTTAAAGCATACATCCACCACTCTCTGAGCTGTCAGATAAAATCCCTTTGAGCATTAAAACATGACAACTTTTGTCTCAAGAGATTTTGTTTTCTTGGTAGGCTATATGCCATTCTGTTGTTTATTTTCTGTCTTATAATTTGCCAAAAGTAGGTTATATGAGTATTATGGAGGTAAGACTTTTCACACTTGGCTTTCACACTTAAAAGACTTGATGATGAGGGGGGGAAAGATCCCATTCAGCCAGCTGGCTCCCAGTGTGTTGGCTATTACTTTTTCTCTGCTACATTACCTCAGCCAGCTCTTTATTTTCACTCTCACACATCAGTGATACACACAAGCCTCACGGCACAATCTCCATCTGCTAATTAGCCAAGCTCATATCAGCAAGGTCAAGCTCCCCTGAGCCACTTATTAATTGCCAATTAATGGGACGCACAAAAGAATGTAAAGCACCACACTTTCATTTTAAACCAGGGAAATCTAAGGATTTATATTTTCTCATTGCGTAAAAAGCATTGTAAAATGTAAAATGTGTAAAATTTATAAAGAGTAGATGGCATAGTTGTAAACCCACCTCAAATGTATTTTTAGTAAAGATGAAAAACACAACCCTTTTATATTTCGCATCTTTACTTAAGAGAAATTGGAGGGCTTGACAGCTAAGCAATCTGATCTTTTATTGAATTTATTGAATCCTTTTTTGCCTCAACAAAGAATATATTTACCTTGAACGTAATGTTATAGATGTTTATACTTTTGTTATAAATTTCGAATTAACTTTTAAATTAATCTGCTTTATCAGATTTAAAATAACAAATGAACACTTACCTCACTCATAGTTCTGAGAGAAGTCGAATGTCGTTTTGGGTTCGCGGGATAATTTGTAGCGTGACTTTGAAACACTAAATAAATGAAATCGAAATTTCCGGGTTTTTTTGTCCGAGTGCTTTAAAATTATGTCAGAACAACTGAACCGAAAATATTATGCAGAGAACTGAATCTCCATCTCTCATCCCGAAAAACACGCCCCTGCTCTCTCTCTCTCTC